CTTTCTTATTAAGGAAAAGAATGATTGAAGTGTCTGTAAACCATTTGTTATTACAAATGCTGTCAAAGAGTTTCATGCTTTCATGCATTCGGTTCTAAAAAAGAAACAAAGGATGACAGGTCAGTAACAAACAGTAAAAGTGAATTAATGTAATGAAAAAACATACCAAGTTTTAAAGCACTGAATGGCATTCATGGAAAAATGTCAGACACTAATAACATGAAAGCTGAGTGAGTCCTCATTTTTACAATTCTTGGAGGTGAGGAGGGAAGAAGGGCAGGCTGACAAGAAGATGTACTCAACACAGCTATCACATCTCTTTAACAGTAATAAGGCATAGATCAGTATTTTGAAAATCTAATCTCACTAACAAGGAGAAAAATTAAGGATATTAAGTTTTGGTTCAATGAGCAAATAAATGCACACGGTCTTCTTAAGAGTTATTTTCCATTTCCTGGCTGCACTTGCCGGGCTTTTTTTTTATCAGAAACTCCAACATACCATCTCTTCATCCTCAGCCAGAACAAGGTCATAATCACTGAGGGCCACACAGAAGATAATTGCTGTCACTCCCTCAAAACAGTGAATCCACTTCTTTCGTTCTGATCTTTGGCCACCCACATCAAACATCCTGAGTAAGGGGAAAGAAAGCACAAATTCAGTAGGTCACAGATATACCTCTCCCTAAATTGAAATGATTAGGAAATTTCCCATTATTACACATTTAAAACCTCATTTATAATAGAAAAGACAAACAAGGAGCAGATAAAATGTTGTCAAAATAATTATCTGCAGCTAAAAATAAAAGAGAACATGAGAAAATAAAATTTAGAAATAATGTAAATTCTCATTTTAGATGGGTGGTTGAGCCTCCTCCCTATAAGCTTGTATCAAATGTGCCAAAAGTCAGCAGAATAAGCACGGAAATGGATTAAAGGAAGGCGGGGGGAAAAAGATAGGAAAAATAAAGAGCTAAATAATATAGCTCAAGATAATAACAATAATAATAACTAATATTTATTGAGTGTTTACCATGGTGCCAGACAGTATGCTAATCATCTTAAAAACATTAAATCATTTGGTCCTTATAACACTCCTATCAGTACTATTATTATTATCATCCCCATTATACAGATGAAGAAACTGAGACACACTCAATGTTAAATTACTAACAAATGGAAACTGGGGATCTAAACCCAGGCATTCTAATTCCAGCACTCATGCTCTTATCCATGATACTACTCTGCCTCTCAAAATGGTCTGCCTCTAAATCCCCAACTTGTTCTATAAATTCTCCCTATTGATTCAAAAGTTTGTTTTCTTAACTTTAAGGGAAAAATATTTTAGAGATTAATTGTGAAAAAAATAAATAAATTATATTTTACAGGAGGATTCTAAGAAGCCAGTATCTTAAAAAAACAAACAAAAAAACCCTTAATCAATATTTCCAAACTCCCAGTCTTACGTAAACCTAATTAATAATAACAAAACTTCAACTGTTCACACACTTTTATTTCCACTTCAGATTAGTTTTAGTCCACTACTCTCTTCTAGGGGGCTTACTTGAGTCAACTGCTGAACTTCTGTCAACAGTGTTCTCATCCACCTCCTATAACTAAAAAGAACACCTAGAACACCTGCACTGCTTTATCTTTTAGCAGTTACTTAGTGTGATGTGGTATCCATGCAAATGGTTGGATATACTTTTTTTTTTTTTTTTTTTTGTTTGACACAGTCTCACTCTGTTGCCTGGGCTAGAGTGCCGTGGCGTCAGCCTAGCTCACAGCAACCTCAAACTCCTGGGCTTAAGCAATCCTCCTGCCTCAGCCTCCCAAGTAGCTGGGACTATAGGCATGCGCCACCACGCCTGGCTAATTTTTTCCATATATTTTTAGTTGTCCGGCTTTCTTTCTATTTTTAGTAGAGACGGGGTCTCGCTGATGCTCAGGCTGGTTTCGAACTCCTGAGCTCAAACAATCCACCCGCCTCGGCCTCCCAGAGTGCTAGGATTACAGGCGTGAGCCACCGCGCCCGGCCCATTTTCATGTTTTAATTACTGATGATCTCAAATCAATACATCAAACCCCAACCTCTCCTCAAGCTCCAAGGCCACAAATAACTGCCTATTAAATATTATGTAAATGTTCCACAGATACTTCAAAATCAACATTCCTAAATATGAATTCAGATCACAGCACCAATATCCAAGAGAGAAATCTGGGAGTACTTTTGACTCTTCCCACTTCCTTACCTTGCTACACCCTTTCACTTTATTATAGAAAGTATTTACAGTGTCTCAGCTAACAATAGTTACTCTTCCCTGGAAATACCTGGTTCTGATCTATGTTTCACAGCGGGACAGCCCTGGTTGTCATGTTTGTGCCCCTGACCTCAACTGATTGGCCTACAGATTTTTGTCACACTTAACCATGGCCAGAAACTTTCTCCTAGGCATTTGAAACTGGGACCAAGCAATTATAGTCTAGCCTGGTTTTTTTTTAACAGAGAAGACACAAAAACTGTGTCAAAGCCATCTTTTACCACATAAACTGAATAGCAGAGAAAGTTAGTAAGGAGAGAAAGAAGAATAAAAAAGATATATAGGCCAGGCGTGGTGGCT